AAACTGGGATCTGGAGTCATTGACGCAAGTTGTAAATATGATTACAGTCTCTACAATATTTGTCATTTCACAGGCAGTTTATAACTCCTTTAGTATCTTGTGAGCTGCACACATGTCCACTGTAGATCATATAAATGTAGGGGAAGGGGAAAGCACACGTCAAAGGTAGCAGAGTTTTTAAATGTTGGAGTTTAGTGATTTCATTTCCAGCGCTGAAACGTACGATTTTTACAGTCTCTGCCTGCCTCCTTCAGTCCACTCCATCCCTCCTCTCACACAGGGCTGGTGTCATGATGGTTACAGCAGTATGATATTTATCTATAAATAACACACATAGCTTCAGTAAAGTCTCCTGGGATTTGGAGTCATTGATGGAGCTTCTTCAAACAGTCTTGCAGCAGTCGGAGAAGATCTGCTGCTGAGAAGAAGCGAAAAGATATCCTCTGTTCACTGGAAAACCTTTCCTTTTATATAAAATGAAAGAAAAATCTAAAGCATGAGTCTGTGAAGTAATGAATTTATTCTTTTGATCTCACAGAGGAAAGGTATTTCAATGGATATTTTCCATTAAGCATAAGGAAGTCAATTTCTTTTTAACCCAGCAACATCTCAGATTGTACCTAAATACAAAAACTGATACTGGAAATGATGAAAAATGTTTATGTCGTTTCACTGCTGTTTAGTAGCACATTAGGTGGATTTAGAGTCTTAAATAAAATGACAAATGACCTCGAACATCTGCAAAAAACTTTTTTCCCTCTGTGAAATGAAAAGGTGAATTTTAGAAGCAGAGCTAGTTTAATGATGGTGTTTTTTATGTTTTTTTGTTTTTCTTCTCAATATACGCTTTTAGTCCGCGACGCCAAGATTCAAAGTGCATTTACATGCCAGTAAATACCATTATTACAATGACACCAAGGCACACATTATACAACAACATGTAAATAATTTAATATCTCGGAGACTTCCCCAGCCTTAGAGGAGCATTGAAATGAATATTTGGGTGCAGTTAATATAACATCAGCTTCAAGCTGCACTGATACTTCGGAAAGATTTATTTTCCATACACACTTTATGTCTGTGAATAATGTATGTGTATATTATCTTCAGATTATTCATTTATCTTTTAAATTGCTCTTATAACTCACAGGAGGTGGCATAGTCTTGTTTTACACTGCTGCAGAACAAAATACTGTGTAGAGGGAAAACATACTATTTTACATATATATAAGTAGGGATGCACCGATACTGGTATCGGGTATCGGGGCCGATACTGTAAAATGTGTGTGTACTCATAC